GTTGATGTATGAATTCTGGGCTGTGGAGAAGACGAGAACCAACACCAGAGGTCCTTTGATCTTCACATGTGCACACACACTTGTATCCATCACACGCATAAAGACTTTTTAAAGTATGTGAATTTATTCTGTTTCTACTAATGTGAAAAGACATCTATCAAGTATAAGGTGATGGGAACAATCAGCTGAAGACTGCTGCCAGGCTGTGGTGGTGACGCCTTTAATCCCAGCACTCAGGAGGCAGAGGCAGGTGGATCTCTGTGAGTTCAAGGCCATCCTGATCTACAGAGTGAGTTCCAGGACAGCTAAGGCTACACAGAGAAACTCAGTCTCAAACAAACAAAACAACCAAACCTGCTTACTGCTGGGGTTACACTTAGTGTGCTGAGCTCCAGGGAGGGAAGAACCAGTTTCTTCATCCCTTGATAGTTTTGTAGGATACAGTAGAATTGAATAAACTACTTCTACATGCAAAAGAATGAATTTGGAGGAGCTAGTATGTAGCTCAGTGGCCAAATGTTAGCTCAGCATGGATGAGACTCTGGGTCCATCTTTAAGATCAGGGGGAAGAAAGTGAAAAAGACTATCCACAGAAGAAAGAAAGCATTCATTGGGAAAGTAATTTGGTAAAGGATTAATACCCTGAGCAGAGAAAGATCTCTTACAAATAAAAACAAACAAAAAACAATAACCAAACAGCTCAATCCAGTCATTGAAAGAGCTGGCATAGAGGTTTATCTAAGAAGGTACGCAGATGGCTAGTGTGTCCTTGAGAAGATCCTGGGCTCCAGGAGAAAGCAGATCACTCAGAAGCAGTGGGAGGCCACTCCACACCTGTTAGGATGGCTGTTGTCAAGGTAGAGGGTGGGAGTGGGGGTTGCTGAAGCAGATGCTGTGTCCTCATTCCTTGTGTGCTGCTGGTCAGTATGTAAAATGCTCAGCTGTGTGAGAGCCTGGAGTTTCGTCACACAGTTGAATGTGGACTTAACCCACCGCCTACCAAATCTGCTTCTGGGTATTCACCTGAGAGGTTTGAAAATGGATTCAAAGCCTGATCCTTCAGTGTTGATAAACAGTAGCAACAAGTCTGTGGACAGGTGAGTGGATAAGGCACAGGGATGTGGCCTGGCTGGAAGAAACTTCGTCTAGCATGCCCTGAGCCCTATCCTCCATCCCCAGCACTGCATATAATTCAGGCAAGATGTCCTAGGCCTGTAGTCCCCGTACTCAAGAGGTGGAAGCAAGAGATCAGGAGTTCAAGGTCATCTTCAGCTATGTGGCCTGTTTGAGGTCAGCCTGGCTACTTGAGACTGTGCCTAAAATAAATAAGAAAAGAAAAAAATGATAAAGAAATAGCCCTGAGAGTCCCTATAGACCTCCCCACCTCTAGTGTGAGCATGCCACTTAGATGGTTCCCATTTCTTTCACCAATGTGCGTTACCACTGCTGGATCTCACTTTGAGTTTATTAATAGTTGCTGTTTCTCCAGATAACCTTCAGTTGGCTGCTGGACCTTTGGGTTGTTGTCACTATCTGACTATGAATACTATTGCTCTCTCTCTCTCTCTCCTCTCTCTCTCTCTCTCTCTCTCTCTCTCTCTCTCTCTCTCTCTCTCTCTCTGTGTGTGTGTGTGTGTATGTGTGTGTGTGTGTGGTTGTTTGTCTGGTGCATGCACATGAGTGTGGACGCATGTGCCCAAGTGCACATTGAAACAGCATCTCACTGAACTGGAAGCTCCATGTTTCAGCTAGGATAGCTGGGGATTTTGTTTCCATCCTGGAAATGCTGGGGTTACAGTTGCTCATGTGGTCATTCACACCTTTTTGGAGTGTTTGTTTGTCTGTTTGAGTGTGGGGAATTTGAACTCAGGTTCTCATGCTAGCACAGGAAGTGATATTGCTTACTTGCTGGGATTCAAGGTAGGTACCGCCATGCTCAGTCTGAAAATTGTTTTTTGAGATTTATTTATTTCTATTTTATGTATATGTGTACGTGCCCCTTTTGCATGCCTGGTGCCCTCAGAGGCCTGAGGGAGAACATCAAATCCACTGGAACTGGAGTTATAGGTGGTGGTAAGCAGCCGTGTGGGTGCTGTGTTTGAACACCAGTCTTCCGCAAGAGCAACAAGTGCTATTAACTGGTGCACCTCTGTCCAGATCCCTGAAGTTTATTTTTGTAGAGTTGAAGTTTAGCAATCCTTTTTCATGTTTGATATTTGCTGCCACTAGGAAGTCCTTATTCACTTATGTTCTGGTGCCATTACTTCATGTTTTTGAGATAGATTTCTGCCATGTAGTACATGCTTGCCTCAAACTGGAAAGGCTCTTTCTTTGTCTTGGCCTCCTCCATACTGGCATTACAGTCATGTACCACCGCAGTGTGTGTGTGTGTGTGTGTGTGTGTGTGTGTGTGTGTGTGTGGTTGATACCAAATCAAGGGCTTTGCCAGACATGTCCATGCACACCAGCGCTTGGGAAGCAGAGGCAGGCAGATTTCATTGAATTCAAGGGTAGCCTGGTCTATATAGTGAGTTGTAGACTAGCAAGGGCTACATAGTGAGACTCTGGTCTCAAAAACTCAACAAAATGAAATCCCAAACCAACTAAGAGCTTTGGGCAGGCCAAGGTAAACACTCCACCATTGGGTTATATCTCTCTTGTCCCTTGTTATTGATTATGAGAGGAAGGTTAAAGACGGGTTCTTATGTAGCCCTAAGCTGGCCTCAGACTTATGGGAATAGCTGAGCATGACCTTGAACTCCTGATCTTCCTTTCTCTGCACTCTCCCTGAATACTGACAGTAAAGCCATGTGCCACCACACTGCCTGGCTCATTTTAACTCTCTGGGGCAGTGAGTGTGTATGTGGATGCTGAGGACAACCTCCAGTGTCATTCCTTAGGTGCTGTTCATCTTGTTTCTTTCTCACTGGACTGGAACTTGCCCAGTAGGCTAGGCTGACTGGTGGCCAGCAAGACTCAGGGATTTGCCTGTCTCTACTACCCTAGTGCTGGGAATAAAAGCCCCCCACCCTCAGATATGGACCTGGAATTGAGGTCTTTCTAGCTCTTACTTTCATTTTAATTTGAAATTTTTATTTGTGGGTATGTGTGCGCACGGAGGCCAGAAGAGGGTATTGGATCCCTGGGCAGTTGTGAGTTGCCCATTTTTTGAGTGCTGAGAATTGAACTCAGGTCCTGTGGAAGAGCAATAAGCATTCTTAACTGCCATGCCCTGTCCAGTCCTTCACTCTTACAGTTTGTCCTACAAACATGTTATGAGGTGTGGGTATAGATTGACCTCTGAGCAGTATTACAGTGAGGTTTAAGCATGTGGGTTAATGAATCACTAGAAGGGAAACCTGGATCTACTCTGTCTACTTGTTCTGCTGTCCTCGAATTAGGACCTAGAACAGCACCAGACTCAAGGACGGGCTTGGGGAGCAGCTGATTGAATCTGTAGCAAAGAAATCCTAGGAGCCGAATCCCAGGTAAACAGGTTAAGCATTTGAGACTTCCAAAGTTACCATCTACTCTCACCAGCAGTGCAGGGCCTGCCTTGGGTAGACTATTCACTGCTCAGCAGCCCACTTCGGGGTTTGACCTCTGAGATCTTGGGGCTGCCCCACTGAGTTGCACTTGTCTTTTGGGGTCCCAGCAGCCTTTCATTCATTCCCTGAGATACTTGCCACCGCTGTCACTGCCTGTGGATGCTACTGAAGAGGATGCTCAGCCCACAACACGTGGTGGGAAATTTCGACCTTTCCTGAGGATACCAAGTTGCCCAACTCCCCCAGAGCTGGCTGTGGCTTCTCCATATTGAATATACTTTTGGGCAGCTGTGTGACCAGGAGACAAAGTGTGGCCATAGGGCACAGCTGGCATTGCGAGATTAGTTGTGATGCAGAGATGCTTGCCTGGTCAGTAGAAAAAACTCAGTGATGTGTCCTCCCTGTGTTCATAAGCCAGCTTCAATCAGAAGGGTAGTATTGGCCCTTTCCTCACCCTTAGTAGTGTGTAGAAATTTGCAACCTCCAGCCTGATTCCTAGTCAGGACCCATTGCTACCAGGATCTACTTAACAGCGCTCCACAGCTGCAGGCTTGGTCCCCTTAGAGTGTGTGCTGAAGCCATCAGCATACAGGATCCTGCTCAAGCCCATTGCCCTACTCACGGTGACTCCTCCTTAGGACTGCCCTTGCTAGCTTGCTTTGGAAAGTATTGGGGGCAGGATATTTTTAGGTTACAAAACAGTGGTAGTCTGGACTGTCAGGTGCCCAAGGCCATTAATAGCCTGGGTTAGGGAAGGTGAGGAGACAGGCATCCAGCAGGGCAACAGCTGCCTAACTGGGTCAGGTCTATTGTCGTTTAGCAGGTTGACTGCCTCATACAGGGAGATGCTATCTGACTGCCCTGAGGAACGTGGACATGCCTGGGAGCCTTTGCTCCCACTTGTCTATTAGATTGTGAGCCCTTAGCATCTTCAGTGGGGGTGAAGGGAATGGATGTTGAGGAGCTGATTCCCAGGACTGTATTTTATTTTTCCCTTGAACTTGGAAATAAACTCCTCTCTGACTTGGCATTTGGGTGGGCAGGTTTGTTTGCCATACCTTAACAGAATTCTTTTGTAGACTTATAACAGGGGCTGGGGGTTATAAGACCTGGGACTAAGGGGATTATTTGTATCTTTATGTATACTTTATTTACATTTTTATCTATTTGAGTCAGGGTCTCATATAGCCCAGGCTGACTTCAAACTCACTCTGTAGCCGAGAACAGCCTTGAACTTGTGATACTCCCGTCTCCATCTCTATGCTGTAAGTAAGCCTACACTAGTCTGGAATTCACTACAGAGCCCAAGCTGGCCTGTGGTCAGTGCCTCTCACTGTCTGTGTTCAGCTCTATGGCCCCACTCCTCAAGGAACTAGCATTTGATGATATTTTGTGTATGTAAATGTTTTAATAACCCCCGTCACAGAATTTTCATTTGATTGTCTTTTCTAGGTTCACATTGAGATCCACTGAAGGCCATCCCTGACTAATAGACATCACCCCGGCTCACTGCATCAGAGGGAGCAAAGCATGAGGGGTGGAAGAGGGACCCTAGGTACTTGCCTGGAAACTGTAAAGAGGTCACAAGGAGGTGACTTGGACAAACTATCATGTGGCCTTAAGACGAGAAGCCAGAAGGGGAGCCCCAGCTCAGCAGATGTGCCTTCCTGGACAGGTCAGCCTGCAGCAGATACTGATGGAAAGTCACAGGACACAGTGGTGGCATCCTTGGGAATGAAACATGATCAGAGTGAGGCTGACCTCATGCTTCACAGTGGGTACAGAGTGCTTCAGTATCTGAAGGAATCAATGGGAAGAAATTTGGCTCCAGCAGCTTCTGTAAGCAAGGTTCTGTCATCTGCTTTGGAAGAACATCTGTCAGGGGTATCCTATGGCATTGGAGATGCCATAGGAAGCGACTGGCCAGGAAGAAGGCCCAGGGCCACAGACAGCTGTGGACAGTACCCCAAAGGAGAGTCCTGGGTGTCAGGATGGCCAGGCCATCCAAAACTGAGGGAAATGGGTTTCCTGAAGGGTGAACAACTAAGTGCTGCCACTGAGGGGCCGGACACCAGGTTGGAACTGTCTAACCCATATTTTGAGCTGTGCCAGCTGCTATATGCTTATGCCTATTGTGCAGTTCTCCCAGAAGACGAGACAAGATGTGTATTCCTCCACTGTTCATACCCCTGTTTTCAGAACAAAAAGTAGAGTACGAGGAAACTCTCTCAAGCTTAAAAAACACTTCAGATGGTCTGCAGATAGTCATGAGGTCACTGGCTCTGCAATCTTCCAGATTAGCAAGTCTGATGCCATAGTTAAGGTACAAGCAGAACAATAAAAATAGCAGATTAATTTTAAAGGTTGTCTTGCAGTTTCTTTTGCATTAAATCTGGCATACGCTGCAGCCATTCAGTTCCTGCTCTGATTCCTGTGACCAGACACACCTCGCTGATTGATGCAGAGGGACATTTTGAGCATGTTTTCAGTTGTTTCGGAAAGACTTGGAACTGGGAAAACCCTTCCAGGAGATGATTGGTCTATCCAGTATAAGATCAGACGAGAACTATGTAGTGCAGAGTTCTTTATCGTGGAGACCCATTCTAAAGGGCTAGCATCCCAGATGCCGCCTGTCTTGGCTCACTTCTGGCCATCTGATGGAAGTGGAGATCTGTAGGCTACCCCCTCCACTTCTGGTAAGCCTTGCTCTGGTCATGAAGAGTCTCACCATCTGCACTGTATGGACTCTCTGACCTGCAGCCACACATCCTGTCTCACGTGCTCTTTCCTTCCGCTTGAATTGTAGTTTTCAACGGCAGCACTTTGGAAAAGTTGCAATATTAAATTTAGGATTATCTTAAACCACAGAAGAGTTTGAGACTCTTTTCTGCTGACAGAACACAGATTACAAATGAAGTGGTCCTCCCCCCCAACCCTAGGATTCATGATCTCTTTTATCTTAAGATTATTTTCTAAAGTAATTCTCCATTTGTGGTTTGTTGATAACTTTAATAAAGGTCGCTTAAGGAGTGGACATTTTTAAAGCTCCCTACCCAAGAGAGAGTTAAAAAACAGCCCAGGGTGGGGGAGAGAGCAACCTGACTGTATATGTCATTTTATTGTGTGCTAAATTACTATGCCATGGGCTATTTTAGTGTTTTGGGGAAATAATAAAATCTGTTCTTTAGCATAATAAATATGTTTTATTTTGTGTGTGTGCTCATGTTTCCTCGTCTTTTTGTTAATGTCACCATCTTCCTAACATTTAAGCATCTTTAGCATGGGGTGAAATAGGTTACTGATGAAAATGAGTCAACTTGAAAGCCAACACAAAGATAGATTTGAACTCCTCTTCCTCCCTCCCATCCTCCCTCTTATCCTCCCACCTTCCTTCCTTGCTCTCTTGTCCCCCTTTTTCTCTTCTTTCTCACAGGTTCTGAAATAGTGCAACATGGCCAAATATGGTAGCATACACCCAGCATGCAGAAGGCTGAGGTATGAGTTCTAGGCTAGCCTGAACTGATTCATGAGTTCAAACACAGCCTGGTCTATTAATGAATTCTAGGCTAACTTGGATAACAAAGCAAGAATGTCCCAGGAAATGAAGCAAAGGGCAAGGGACTCGGGAAATTGCTTTCTATGCAAGTTTGACCTGAGTTTGATACCCAGAACCCATATACAGCAGCCCAGTATAGCTGCATTGTTTACAATCCCAGCACCCGGGAGGTGATGGAGTCCTTGGAGCTTGTTGGCCAGCCAGTCTAGCCTAATTAGTGAACTCCAGGCCAGTGAGAGGGCCTGTATGAAAGAAGGTGAAGGTGGGGGTAAGGGTGGGAGTGGGGGGCCTGGAAAGAATGGCTCAGCAGTTAAGAACCTGACTGCTCTTCCAGAGATCCCAGGTTCAATTCCCAGCATCCACATGGCAGCTTATAGCTGTCTGTGACTCCAGTTCCAGGGGATCTGACACCCATGGTAAAACACCAATCGATGAACATTTAAAAAAAAAAAAGTGGATGGCTGGGTAAGAGTGACACCTGAGGCTGATCAGGCCCACACACCTGTGCATGAACATCCCTACATGAGCATGCCTCCCCCAACCAGTATGCATAGAGTGCAAAGTTGTCATCTGTGGTTGGGTATGGTGGCACACTCAATCCTGGTACTTGAGATGCAGAGAAGCAGAAGAGCCTAGAGGTGAAGGCCGGCCTAGGCTACAATTATCTCAAAATACCAAGAAAGCTGGGCATGGTGGTTCACATCTGTAGTCCCAGCATTCAGAAGCAAAACAAAACATCATGACTTCAAAGAAGACGTATAAACATTTGAGACATAGTGGAGAAATAAGATGCTTTAGGTCTGGCTGACTGTGGTGGAGAACACCTGTAACCCTAGCACTCCTGAAGCCAAAGTTGTCTTGAGTTTGAGGCCAGCCTGAGCCACATGAGGATGCCTTTTGTTTGTTTGTTTGTTTGTTTGTTTGTTTCTCTGTGTAATAGTTCTGGCTGTTGTGGAACTCAGAGACCCATCCAACTCTGCCTCCCAAGCCCTGGAATTAAAGGTGTGCCTCACCACTGCCTGGCAGGTGAGGCTATCTTAAATTCCACATCCCCCCCCCACTATAAAGTTTCGTAGAATGTGTAGCTTTGCCTGACCTTAGACTTGCAGCATGTGGCTGTAGATGACTTTCAACAACAACTCTATTTCCTGAGTGCTGCAACTGCGGGCATGCACTGTGAACCTGTTTTATGTGGTGCTGCAGATGGACCACAGGGCCTTATGCATGCTGGGTAAGAACTCGGTTTCCAGGTTTCCGTGCTGCTCCACATCCACTCCCTACAGCTTTTGCTCTTAAGGACTGAACAATACAATTTAAATTTAACAGCTATGCCCAGCTAAAAATGTTGGACTTGCTATTCACATCTGGAAATAGTGATTTGCTTTCTTAAAAAAAGAAAAAAAAGTTGGAGTGAATGATGAGGTCTTGAGCTCATTAGGTGGCTGCAAGACTGGAGAATAAAAAGTACATTAAAAGTGCTCATGTGGCCAGGTGTTGGTGGTGCACGCCTTTAATCCCAGCACTTGGGAGGTAGAGGCAGGCGGATCTCTGTGAGTTCGAGGCCAGCCTGGTCTCCAGAGCGAGTGCCAGGATAGGCTCCAAAGCTACACAGAGAAACCCTGTCTCAAAAAAAAAGTGCTCACGTGTAAGGGGGGCTAGTGAGGGGGCTAGTGAGAGGCTCGAAGTTAAAGATTGCCAACAAGCCTGATGGCCTGATGGCCTGATGGCCTGAATTCAATTCCAGGAATTCACATGGTGGAAGATGAGAGCCAGTTCCTCCAAGTTGCCTTTTGACCTCCATGCCCAAATAGCAAGTAAATAAATACAATAATACAATTTAATGTAGAGAGAACTCTACATTACAATTCTGTTACATCAGATCAGAGCACTCAGCCTGTAAATTTGAGTATCCAAGGGTTTACACTTAAGTTATGTAATACATGGCTTGTGCCTGTGTATAAATAAAATTGTCACATAAGAGTGATCTGTTTACACACAAGTATTTAAAAATTTTTTAATTACGTTATTGTGTGGATGAGTGAGTGGGTGTGTGTTACATTGCTTATGTGGAAGTCAGTGAATAATCGTGTGTGTGTGTGCATATGCTATCAAAATTCATTGGTTAAGAGGCGTCTACTTTTGCCGGGCGTTGGTGGCGCACACCTTTAATCCTAGCACTTGGGAGGCAAAGGCAGGCAGATCTTTGTAAGTTCGAGGCCAGCCTCATCTACAGAGAGAGTTCCAGGACAGCCAGGACCACACAAAGAAACCCTGTCTCAAAAAAAAGTTGTTTTTCATTATATTACAGATGTGTGTGTGCATGTGCCATTGCACAGAGGTGGGGTTCAGAGAGCAGCTTATAGGAGTTAGCTGTTTTGTACATATGGGGTCTGGGGATTGAACTTGGGCTTTGTAGCAGGCACCTGTACCTGCTGAGTCATCTCACCAGTCCAAAAGATTGTATTTAGAGTTACTTGTTTAGGAAAGATAAAGTTCTAAAAGGTAGAATTGGTTTTTCTTGCTTTCCTGGGGTCCATTAAGACTCCATGCTTTTGTGTCAGGGTCTCATATGGTCCGGGTTGTGCTCAACTCCCCACATAGCCAATAATGGTGCCTACAAAGGCCAGAAGAGGGCATTGGATTCCTTGGGACTGGAGTGACAGAAGCTTGTGAACCTCCATGTGGGTGATGGGAACTGAACTTGGGTCTCTGCAAGAGCAGCCATTGCTCTTAGCCTCTGAGCCATCTCTTCATGCTTTGGACTATGTCAGCAGAGACTTGCTAGATCAGACATGGCAGGCCTCTTTTTTCCCCCCCAAGACAGGACATCACTATGTAGCCCTGGTTGGCTGGGTACTATGTAGACCAGGCTGGGCTCAAACTCGGAGAGTGCCTGTTTATCCCTCCCAAGTGCTGGGCTTGAAGGTGTGTGTCACCATATCCACCTGGGCATAGTTGTTTTTGAAGATTGTCTTAGGAGTGCTTGCTTAGCACACAGGAGGCATTGGGTTCAATTCAAAACAACGTGCATGCGCGCGCGCGCACGCGCACACACACACACACACACACACACACACACACACACACACCTGGAGGACGGGAGTCTGCCTTGGTGGTTTCGTTCCGTGTATCACACAAAAAGGATTTCAATAGAAAATTCTAGTTCTGAAGGTGAACTGTAGTGGTCGTGATGCCACTGGAAGAAAGGCAGTGTGGGACTGGAGAGATGGCTCAGAGGTAAAGAGTGCTTGCTGCTCTTCCGGAGCACCGGGTTCCATTCCCGTCACCCACATGGTGGCTCACAACTGTCTGTAACTCCAAGATCTGACACCATCACACAGGCATGCATGCAGGCAGAACACCAATGCACATAAAATCAAAAGGCAGTATTTGGAGCCAGGAAGACAAACTTACTGCATCAATACACGCAAGGATCAAACCTACCAGAAGAGGGAGCCACATGTCCACCTAGGCAAATGAACTGCTTTCAAAAAGCCTTCATTTTTTTCATACTGGTTAGTTTATTGCAGTGTCTGTTTCATCTTCCCTTCCTCCCTCTCTTCTCCCTTTGTCCTCCCCCTTCTTCTATTAAACTTCACATTTTATTCACGTGTGTGTGTGTGTGTGTGTGTGTGTGTGTGTGTGTGTGTGTGTGTATTTTTGTTGGTTTTGTTGAGACAAACTCTTGATATGTAGCTCTGACTGACCTGGAACTCACTGTTTAGCCCAGGCTGGCCTAGAACTCTTGGCAACCCTGCTTCATCCACTTGAGTGTTGGGATTACAGACGTGCACCACCATGCCTGCCTTTTTTCTTGCTTTTTTTCTTTTTTAAGAGGCTTAAAAATGTGCCATATTGTAGGTCAGAGGCAACTTGTTCTCTCCTTCCACCATGCAACTTCCAGGGATCAAACTCAGGTCATCAGGCTGGCAAGACAAGTGCCTTTACCTGCTGAGCCATCTCACCAGCCCCATACCCAGCTTTTAGTTCACATTTGATCAGTTTCCCATTTGCATTCTTTTTATATCTCAGGATACAATCCATAAAGCTACATGGTATATAATATGCATCAAATTGTGCATGAATCATCCATGGCTGAAGATTGAACCCTGTGTTTGCTAGGCAAACCAACCAAGGAGGCACACCTGTAACCCTGATGTACATAGGTATTTGAGGAGACCATTACGCACTAGAGTTTACATAGTTCCTTATTTACTCAAACAGAAGGAAGTGGATTGCAGAAAGAACAGTTTGCTGAAAGGTAAGATTTATTTTGTGTAGCAAATTAAACAATGAAATAGGTTCATGGTTCTGATAGGTTATGCTGAACTCAGTGTTGCATACCACTGAGTTGATTTGGCCATCTTGACTTTCTCATCTGTTTTAAGAAATGCTTATTTTTTTATTAATGTATGTGTCAGTTTGAGCGAATGTCACATGTGTGCAGGTACCCATGGGACCTAGTAGAGGGTGTCAGATCCCCTAGAGTTGGAGTTATAGGTAGTTATGAGGTTCCAGATGAGGGTGCTGAGAACAGGAGTCCTCTGTAAGGGCTGTAAGAACTTGGAATCAATGAACCATTTCTCTACTCCCATGAGATTGGATAGGTAGATAACATATATGTACATATTAAGAATTTATAACAGACAAGAATGGATCATGT